ACAGGCAGTGACACAACATAGGACAGAAAAGTTCTGAAACTGAAGAAAGGATGGTACCAGGAAACAGTTCCATTTCTCAAAAACAAAAAAAAAACATGCTAAGAACTAGAATTACCGCCTCACGGATGTATGCCTTGGTGCACCAGTCAAGTTCCTCTCACAGTTTGCATCCACGTCTGTGAATACATGGATGCTTCACACACATTGTCCCCCCGACAGCACAGAAGATCTATACAATCAGCACAGTTTGAAGGTGGACACCCAAGGTGAGTGTCATCTGACACTATCTGACCAAATGTCTCCCCTTCTGTTCCTGAGATATGAAGTTGAATAATGGCCAGAAAAGTGTTTATGTAGAACATTATGATGTCACAGTGAAGGTGACCCTTGACCTTTTGGATATAAAATGTCATCACTTCATTATTTTGTCCTATTACACATATGTGTGAAGAAATGTGTAGTATGTGTAAAAGAAATGTCATGAGAATGTAACAGATGCAAGGTCACAACAACCTTGACCTTTGACCCTTGATCTAATCTAATCAGTCCATCCTCAAGTCCAAGTGAATGTCTGTGCCCAAAAAAAAAAAAATTCCCTCAAGGTAGGGCTGCTCGATTATGGAAAAAATCATAATCACGATTATTTTGGTCAAAATTGAAATCACGATTATGCAAACGATTACGTGGCGCACATGATATTGTTTACACGACAGCCTGTCATTTCTGTCTCTACATGGTTGCGCATTTACAATTCTCCACTGCTCTCTGTATCGTGCATGGCGGAGTTTGGCCCCGATGCGCACACACACACTTGCACACACACACACAGACCAACCTCTCTCGCTCTACCTCTGCCATTTTCCGCAAGCTGTTTTTGAAATCTTCCGTGATCACCTGCCCCTCGCATTATTCGTAGTTCATCTACTTGACTGGCTCCTGGAGTGAAGAGGAGAGGAGGGGAGGGGCCGTATTGCCTTATTGTCTTCAGTAGAAGACAAAATAACATCTCCAGGCGCCCGTGACCAAAAATCATTTACCCTCGATTTCATTAATTTTGAAATCATTTGACCTCAAAATCGTAATCGCGATCACCAGACAATTAATTGTACAGCCTTTATCCAAGGTATTCTTGAGGTATCATCATTCACAGGAGTCAAACAGACAAGATCACAGTGACCTTGACCTTTGATCTATGAAAACCAAAAACTAATCAAGTCATCACTGAGTCCAAGTGAGGAACGTCTGAGGAATGTGAAGTTAGCAACACCAGCGGCCATAGTCAAATGTATCCCTGGGGCCAGAGAGGGCAACACTGAATCAAATTTAAAACTGCTGGCTAAAGGTCAACGTAGATATAGTGAGATTGTTATTCACATTGGCGGCAATGACACCCGGTTACGGCAATCAGAGGTCACTAAAATTAATATTGCCTCGGTGTGTGAATANTTTTCTCAGTAACGCATTACTTTTTGGGTTAAGTGACTGAGTTACTAACTGAGTTACTTTTTTAATGAAGTAACTACTAACGGTAACGGAAAATGGACATCACATTAAAACATATGCGAGCCATAAGACTCCTATTCTCTAGATGTTCTGCAGCTGAGCAGCAGTCGAGCCCGTCTGTGGTCCAGGTGTTCCCACCACTTGATTGGTCCTGATCCAAAACCGTCATTTCTATTGGACTTTAAAACCCTGATCCTGAGGTGGAGTATAAACACTGGAAGCAGCAGATGTCTCCATTCTTCTGTGAAGTGGTGAGTGTAAGTGTGAAGTAGTCATTAAACCAAGCAGTGCTAACAAAACATTAGCAAACCAGTAGTCCGCCATTGTTGTTGTTTCCAGCATATGCTTATTACACAAAGCAACAGGAGGCAGGCGCTTTTTGAAAAGATTACATCATCGTTTCCCAAATGCTCCATTTTACACGTCCACACAGATAAACAGTAACCGCAGTTTTGATTAATCTTCATTTTCAAAAAAATCCATTTCAGTGACCTAAAATGAATTATCATCAACGTCTCACTAGGAAATTTTAGAAAACTTTAGAGTTTCTTTTCTGTCTAAGTCCTTTATTCATTAACTGTCTTTATTCACAATCCATGAACAATTTCTGTTCTCTCTTACCCCTTTTCCACCAACACAGAATGGGTTCCAATCCAGTTCCCACACATAACTTTAACCCGTTCAGAGCATTTTGACCAAACATAAACTGATTCAGAACCCCAAATGTTGGGTCCCAGCTGGAACCAAAAAATAGCAGATTTTCCTTGACCTGAAGTGTGAATTTTGACATCAGTGGGCATGTCATATTCTATAGGTTGGAAAGCGAGGATGGAGAAGTCAACAAAGGAGAAGTCAAGTGAGAAATCACATGTTTTTACCCATTAGACAGCTTTTTGCAGGTTACCTGTCTTGTAGCCGCGGGTATTAGTCCCAGTGAAGGACTCTGCCACAGGCTACATGAGTACTTCTAAAAAGCTGTTATACACTGTACACAGGGAGGCAATTAAGGCACTCCAAAAACATTTCCACGAGGAAATAAATATAAAAAAGTCTTTTCTGCAGTATGTTTTTATTTGCATGTATTTTGAAACATATTGGCTGTTTTAATGATTAAGCCAGTACAAGAAAGGGTTTTTAATATTTCCATTCCTGTTGATATATTTTTGGAGTGCCTGGATTGCCTTCCTGTGTAATTATTTTTGTTCTCTGTTTTCTGTTTCTCTGTTTTCTGATCTATGCTTAATTATACAGAGTAACCACTCATCTCCTCTTCCTGACTGTTAGACAGTATTGCTTTGCTTTCCTTCCCTTGTGGCCACAACCACATTAATACATTTTTGTTTTAAAATGAATTGTTTTAAAAACGATCCATGTACACACTAGCGTTTTTGCACTGTTGTAGGAAAACTCTCAGTTCATGTATACTGGGCATATGTGTGCCGGTATAAACAGAAAGCAGACCTTCTATTCAGCAGGTGTTTGCTTAGTTACACAATTTACTGCAGAAATGGTAAAAAGTATGCCCAAAGATTTCTTTGCTTGGGCAAACAACAAGGTGGAACTGTTACTGAAAGTAACACGAGTAAAGGGCGGTGAAGGCGGCGGAAAACAGATTGGGTAGCTTTGCAAAGCAAATACAGCAATGTATCAGAGCGGTACCGAAAGCATTATTCATCACCGGAGGAAGCCATGGCTATTGGGAAAGGGGTACTCACACAAGAAGAATTAAATCATGAAAGATATGTTGACCTAGCTATAATGCCAAAAACTGCAGTTCTGTGAATGGCCAGTTGAGGCTGGCTCCAGAAGCCAGTCAGTCCCCTTAGACCCCATGTTATAATGCTCAATTGTACTTTTATTGTGAAAGAAACCGTTGTCCCCTTCTCCTATGTCATAGCTACGTGATACATTGTCTTTTTTGGAACTGGAAAAGATTCAATTCAACAGACAAATCAAAGGAGCCTGACCTTTCTTTCCCCAGAATGATGACCTCGGTGAGATGATTTTTATATATAGCATGAATATACAGTATCTCACATAAGTGAGTACACCCCTCCCATTTTTGGAAATATTTCATTATATCTTTTCATGGGACAACACTATAGAAATGACACTTTGATATAACTTAAAGTAGTCAGTGTACAGCTTGTATAGTAGTCTAGATTTACCATCCTCTGAAAATTACTCAAAACACAGCCATCAACATCTAAACAGCTGGCAACATAAGTAAGTACACCCCACAGTGAACATGTCCAAATTGTGCCTAAAGTGTCAATGTTTTGTGTGCCAACTATTATTATCTAGCACTGCCTTAACCCTTTTGGGCATGGAATTCACCAGAGCTCACATGTTGCTTCAAGAATCCTCTCCCACTCCTCCATGATGACATCATGGAGCAGATGGATGTGAAGACACCTTGCGCTCCTCCACCTTCAGCTTGAGGATGCCCCACAGGTGCACAGGTGAGTTTAGGGCTGGATACATACTTGGCCAGTCCATCACCTTCACCTTCAGCTTCCTCAGCAAGGCAGTTGTCATCTTCTAGGTGTGTTTTGGGTCATTATCATGTTGGAAAACTTGATAATGAAAACTTGCAGCTCAGTTTCTGAAGAGGGGCGATCATACTCTGCTTGGAATTCATGTTTCCCTAAATGAACCGAGCTCCCCAGAGCCGGCAGCACTCATGCAGCCCCAAACCATGATGCTGCCACCACTATACTTGACTGTAGGCAAGGGACAGTTGTCTTGGTGCTCTTTCAGCATGTGTGGCACCTTGGTGAAGAGCACCAAAATAGAGCGCCTAAATAAAGTGATATGAATTGAATTGAATTGAATTGAATTGAACTGAACTGAACTGAATTGAATTCCCACGTGTGAACACAGAGGGACAAAGTCATCATTGGGTTATTGAAACACATAACAAACAGAGACAGCAAAAAAACACAGCTCTCTGTGTGACATCAGTCTAAAGTAACCCCAGTATGTCTAAAGGGGAATACATAATATGGTGAATCAATTACAAATAAATATGTTGTTCTAAATATTTCAAATAGCCTACTTATTTGTGCTTTATAGCAGAAATAAACGTGTACAGCCTGGTACAAAATTGATTTGGGTCTCTAAAGCTAACTTTCCCCTTCATAATAACTGTATGGGGGGTGAATTCTTACTTAACTCACCTGTTTACATTTTATGAAGTTATTAAAGGTATGTACAAGTATAGGCAGGTCACTCTGAGTGCCAGGCTGCCTCCTGATAGTGTCCTCAGCCTCTCAGTCAGATCCACCCTTTGCCCACATATTGTCACTAATGGCTCCAAAAAACCAAGATGGCGATGGCTGAAATGCCGAACTCAAGGCTTTAAATTAGGAGTCCACAAACCAATTACTGTTGTCATGGAAGGTACGTCCATTAGTTTTTACAGTCTATGGTCGAGACTGAGAAGACCCAATTGGGGAGCGAAAGTTTAAAAAGCTCCTACACAGTCTGCCACTTACCACTAGGTGGTTTGGGCCTTGGGGGAACACTTTTCTTCGGTGGTAGAGCTGGTGTATCATTCTTCCTGTTGAATGGGTCATCAGCAAACACCGCCTTGAAGGAAAGCACAAGAAAAGGAATATTTCATTAGCATTCAGCTGTAATTTCAATGTACTATATTATGACAGGCAGTGACACAACATAGGACAGAAAAGTTCTGAAACTGAAGAAAGGATGGTACCAGGAAACAGTTCCATTTCTCAAAAACAAAAAAAAAACATGCTAAGAACTAGAATTACCGCCTCACGGATGTATGCCTTGGTGCACCAGTCAAGTTCCTCTCACAGTTTGCATCCACGTCTGTGAATACATGGATGCTTCACACACATTGTCCCCCCGACAGCACAGAAGATCTATACAATCAGCACAGTTTGAAGGTGGACACCCAAGGTGAGTGTCATCTGACACTATCTGACCAAATGTCTCCCCTTCTGTTCCTGAGATATGAAGTTGAATAATGGCCAGAAAAGTGTTTATGTAGAACATTATGATGTCACAGTGAAGGTGACCCTTGACCTTTTGGATATAAAATGTCATCACTTCATTATTTTGTCCTATTACACATATGTGTGAAGAAATGTGTAGTATGTGTAAAAGAAATGTCATGAGAATGTAACAGATGCAAGGTCACAACAACCTTGACCTTTGACCCTTGATCTAATCTAATCAGTCCATCCTCAAGTCCAAGTGAATGTCTGTGCCCAAAAAAAAAAAAATTCCCTCAAGGTAGGGCTGCTCGATTATGGAAAAAATCATAATCACGATTATTTTGGTCAAAATTGAAATCACGATTATGCAAACGATTACGTGGCGCACATGATATTGTTTACACGACAGCCTGTCATTTCTGTCTCTACATGGTTGCGCATTTACAATTCTCCACTGCTCTCTGTATCGTGCATGGCGGAGTTTGGCCCCGATGCGCACACACACACTTGCACACACACACACAGACCAACCTCTCTCGCTCTACCTCTGCCATTTTCCGCAAGCTGTTTTTGAAATCTTCCGTGATCACCTGCCCCTCGCATTATTCGTAGTTCATCTACTTGACTGGCTCCTGGAGTGAAGAGGAGAGGAGGGGAGGGGCCGTATTGCCTTATTGTCTTCAGTAGAAGACAAAATAACATCTCCAGGCGCCCGTGACCAAAAATCATTTACCCTCGATTTCATTAATTTTGAAATCATTTGACCTCAAAATCGTAATCGCGATCACCAGACAATTAATTGTACAGCCTTTATCCAAGGTATTCTTGAGGTATCATCATTCACAGGAGTCAAACAGACAAGATCACAGTGACCTTGACCTTTGATCTATGAAAACCAAAAACTAATCAAGTCATCACTGAGTCCAAGTGAGGAACGTCTGAGGAATGTGAAGTTAGCAACACCAGCGGCCATAGTCAAATGTATCCCTGGGGCCAGAGAGGGCAACACTGAATCAAATTTAAAACTGCTGGCTAAAGGTCAACGTAGATATAGTGAGATTGTTATTCACATTGGCGGCAATGACACCCGGTTACGGCAATCAGAGGTCACTAAAATTAATATTGCCTCGGTGTGTGAATACACAAAAACTATGTCAGACTCTGTAGTTTTCTCTGGACCCCTCCCAAATCTGACCACTGATGACATGTTTAGCCGCATGTCATCATTTAATCGCTGGCTGTCCAGGTGGTGTCCAGCAAACGATGTGGGTTTCATTAACCATTGGCAAATTTTCTGGGGAAGACCTGGTCTTATTAGGAGAGACGGCATTCATCCCACTTTGGATGGAGCTGGTCTCATATCGAGAAATCTGGCAAAGTTTATTAGTAATCCAAAACCCTGACAACCCCGAGTTGAGATCAGGACTCAGAGTCGCAGTCCTGTACGCTTCTCTGAGCTTCTAGTGCAGTTACCCACCCATAGTTTTATACAAACGTTGTCTGTCCCCCGACCACCTAAATTCACCTAAAATCTAAATCTAAAATCGAACAAAGAGGAGTTGTGCATAACAACCTCATAAAAATTAAAACCTCTTCTGTGACAGAAAGACAAAACAGGAGAATTAAATGTGGACTGTTAAATATAAGGTCTCTAACATCTAAAGCAGTGTTAGTAAATGAATTAATATCAGATAATCATATTGATTTACTCAGTCTCACTGAAACCTGGCTGTGTCAAGATGAATATGTCAGTCTAAATAAAACCACTCCTCCCAGTCATAATAATACCCACATTCCTCGAGGCAGCGGCCGAGGAGGGGGAGTTGCAGCCATTTTTAACTCTAGTCTGTTAATCAGCCCTAAGCCTAAACTAGACTATAATTCATTCTTCCTCAGGTGGAGGAGTTTAAGTATCTCGGGATCTTGTTCACGAGTGAGGGTAGGATGGAGCAGGAGATTGACAGGCGGATTGGGGCGGCGTCAGCAGTGATGCAGGCGCTTAACCGGTCCGTTGTGGTGAAGAGGGAGCTTAGCCAGAAAGCGAAGCTCTCAATTTACCGGTCGATCTACGTTCCAACCCTCACCTATGGTCACGAGCTCTGGGTAGTGACCGAAAGAATGAGATCGCGAGTACAAGCGGCCGAAATGAGTTCCCTCCGCAGGGTGGCTGGGATCAGCCTTAGGGATAGGATGAGGAGCTCAGACATCCGGGAGGGACTCGGAGTAGAGCCGCTGCTCCTCCACATCGAGAGGAACCAGTTGAGGTGGTTCGGGCATCTGGTAAGGATGCCTTCCGGACGCCTCCCTTGGGAGGTGTTTCGGGCATGTCCAACCGGGAGGAGACCTCGGGGCCGCCCCAGAACACGCTGGAGGGACTACATCACCCGGCTGGGCTGGGAACGCCTCGGGGTTCCCGCAGAAGAGCTGACGGAAGTGGCGGGGGAGAGGACTGTCTGGGCTTCTTTGCTGAGGCTGCTGCCCCCGCGACCCGGACCTGGATAGGCAGAGGACAACGAGTACGAGTACGAAGCCTTGTTCTTAGTCTTTTACATCTGACCTGGAAAACCTCGCAGCCACTTTTATTTGTTATAGTGTAACGTGCTCCTGGCCCATATTCTGAATTTGTATCTGAATTCTCAGAGTTTTTATCCAGTTTAGTTCTTAAATCAGATAAAGTTATTATTGTAGGCGATTTTATCATTCATGTTGATGTTGATAATGACTCCCTGGCTACCTCGTTTATCTCATTATTAGACTCCATTGGCTTCATTCAGGGTGTACATGAACCCACTTATTGTTTTAACCATACCCTCAATCTAGTTCTGACGTATGGAGTTGAAATTGATAACCTAACAAGTCTTTCCACAGATTACTTTTGATTTCTTTTTACTCGATTACACGCCACTCAGCTACAGTTACTATTCTAGATGTTTATCATATACTGCTGTCGCAAAATTTAAGGAAATGATTCCTCCGTCGTTAAATTTAATACCATGTCCTTCAGTAACAGAGGCTTCCCGTACTGACTTTAACCTCTCCCGAATTAATCATCTTTTCGATAGCGCCGTAGGCTTGCTGCGAACAACACTCAACTCCATAGCACCTCTTAAAAAGAAGTTAACAAAGCAAAGAAAGTTCTCTCCTTGGTATAACTCTCAAACCCATAAGTTAAAACAAATATCGCAAAAATGTGAAAGGAATTGGCAATTAACCAAACTGGAAGAATCTCGTTTAATCTGAGCAGACAGTCTCAAAACGTATAAGAGGGGCCTCCGCAATGCCCAGGTTTCTTTTTTAGCACTGTAGCCAGGGTGACTGAGAGTCACAGCTCCATTGAGCCATGTATTCCTTTAGCCCTTAGCAGTAATGATTTTATGAGCTTTTTTAATGACAAAATTCTAACTATTAGAGGCAAAATTCATGACCTCCTGTCCTTAGATAGAACCTATCTGCCCTCAAACACAGCTGTAATAATATATATATTTAGATTGCTTCTCCCCGATTTCTCTTCAAGAACTGACTGCAGTAATTTCTTCATCTAAATCATCAACGTGGCTCAGACCCCATCCCGGCTAGGCTACTTGTGGAAGTCTTACCTTTAGTTAACACTTATATATTAGATATGATCAATATATCCTTATTAACAGGCTATGTACCATAGTCTTTTAACGTAGCTGTAATTAAACCTCTCCTAAAAAAGCCCACCCTGGATCCAGAGGTGTTAGCTAACTATAGATCAATATCTAATCTTCCCTTTCTTTCAAAGATCCTTGAGAAAGTAGTCGCAGACTAGCTGTGTGATTTTCTCCATGATAATAATTTATTTGAGGGATTTCAATCAGGATTTAGAGTGCATCATAGCAGTGAGACAGCACCAGTTAAAATTACAAATGACCTTCTGATTGCTTCAGACAAAGGACTCGTCTCTGTACTTGTTTTATTAGATCTTAGTGCGGCGTTTGACACAATTGACCATCGAATTCTGCTACAGAGACTGGAACATTTAATTGACCTAAAAGGTTCTGCACTAAGCTGGTTTAAATCTTATTTATCTGATCGTTTTCAGTTTGTTCATGTTCATGATGAATCATCCTTACGTACTAAAGTTTGTTTTGGAGTTCCGCAAGGTTCTGTGCTCGGACCAATCCTATTTACTCTCTATATGCTTCCTTTAGGTAACATCATTAGATGCTCTGTAAATTTCCATTGTTATGCGGATGATACACAGTTGTATTTATCGATGAAGCCAGAAGAAAGTAGTCAAATAACTAAACTTCATAACTGCCTTAAAGACATAAAAACCTGGATCAGCACCAATTTCCTTATGTTAAATTTAGACAAAACTGAAGTTATTGTTCTTGTTCCCAAACAACTCAGAGACTCTGTATCTGATGACATAGTTTCTCTAGATGGCATTGCTCTGGCCTCTAGCACTACCGTAAGAAACCTCGGAGTAATATTCGATCAAGATTTGTCTTTTAATTCTCATTTAAAACAAACCTCAGGGACTGCATTTTTTCATCTGCGTAATATTGCAAAAATTAGGCCTATCCTGACCCGAAAAGATGCAGAAAAATTGGTCCACACTTTTGTTACCTCTAGACTGGATTACTGTAACTCCCTATTATCAGGTAGCTCTAATAAGTCTTTAAAAACTCTCCAGTTAATTCAGAATGCAGCGGCACGTGTACTAACAGGAACTAAGAAACGAGATCATATTTCTCCTGTTTTAGCTTCTCTGCACTGGCTCCCTGTAAAATCCAGAATTGAATTTAAAATTCTACTGTTAACTTATAAAGCTCTAAATGGTCAAGCTCCGTCATATCTTAAAGAGCTCATAGTGCAATATTATCCCACCAGAACACTGCGCTCTGAGAATGCACGGTTTCTCGTGGTCCCTAAAGTCTCCAAAAGTAGATCAGGAGCCAGAGCCTTCAGCTATCAGGCGGGACCGGGAGGCAGACACCGTCTCCACATTTAAGACTAGACTTAAGACCTTCCTCTTTGATCAAGCTTATAGTTAGGGCCGGCTCAGGCTTGCCTTGTACCAGCCCATAGTTAGGCTGACTTAGGCCTAGTCTGCTGGGGGACCTCCTATAATACACTGGGCACCTTCTCTCCTTCTCTCTCTCTCTCATGTCCTGTTACTGCATCTTGCTAACTCGGCCATACTGCATGTCACTAACTCGGCTTCTTCTCTGGAGCCTTTGTGCTCCACTGTCTTGCAGGTTAACTTCTATCACAGCAGTGCCTGGATAGTGTGACGTGTGTGGTTGTGCTTCTGCCGTGGTCCTGCCAGATGCCTCCTGCTGCTGCTGTTATCATTAGTCATACTTCTACTGTTATTATACACATATGATTATTGTCCCATACATATACTATCAGATGTTAATATTTACTTTAAACATATTGTACCACAATAGCCAGAATCATAATTATAATATTATTACTTTCATTAATGTTGTTGTAAGCTATTAACATTATTGTCTGTCCTGCATTTCTCTCTGTCTATCTTTCTGTCTCATTGTGACATATGGATTACTGTTAATTTATTATGTTGATCTGTTCTGTACGACATCTATTGCACGTCTGTCCGTCCTGGAAGAGGGATTCCCTCCTCAGTTGCTCTTCCTGAGGTTTCTACCGTTTTTTTTCCCCGTTAAAGGGTTTTTTTGGGGGAGTTTTTCCTTATCTGCTGTGAGGGTCCTAAGGACATAGGGATGTCATATGCTGTAAAGCCCTGTGAGGCAAATTGTGATTTGCAGTATTGGGCTTTATAAATAAAATTGATTAATTGATTGATTGATTGATTGATTGAAGTGGACATTTGTGCCAAATGTGAAGAAATTCCCTTGGGGTGTTGTTGAGATATTGTGCTCACAAGGATGGGACGGACAAACGTATGTATGTACAAGCCATGACTATCACCTATCGCACGAAAGTATAAAAATAAGAATAATAATTGGACCAAATATGACACATCCTTCATGTAATTGTTTGTGTACAATATGGCAGTTTACACTACACATTTTTAGACTATTTTTAAAGACCCAAAGTATGAAACAGAAGACTTTTGGGCAATATATCTATTGGCCCAAAAAAGGTGTTGTTTTCTGGTACCTTCTGGTAGTCTGGCAGCCAGCTGGCTCTGCCTTCAAAAGGGTCTCTGGGCTTCGACATGAGACTGAAGTCTGCAAATCCAGTGGAACTGTTATTGCTGCTGTTGAATGAAGTGCTGCCAAATGGGTCCAACGTGCCAAACAGGTCTAAAAAATAAATAAAAAAATAAATAAAACAGTCAAGCACATTTAAATTAGTGACTATGATTAGTAGCTACCTAAAATGTTGATTTTTTTTTCCACCGACAACATGAGGGTGAGATTTGTGGCTATGAATATAATGTCTTGATAATCATTGGATGGACTGCCATAAAATTTGGTACATTTAAGGAATTAGCAATATTAACTAGTAAATGTTGTCATGGTAACACACATGGAAAAATGCAATTGATTGTATACATGGGGGAGTAATTTGACTCTGAATCACATTATCCGGGTGTGTTAGTCTGACTTTGAGAAATCTGATTTTGTACAATGTAAGTCAGACTAATAAGTTTCCATGTATTTCAAATATCCAGTTTTAATTGGACTAACACAATAAATTGATTTTCTCTCATGTCATGTAAACATTCTGAGTGTCATAGCAAGCATGCTTGCATCTCATGTGTAGCTCTAGCTTTAGTATATAAAAAATGTTTTTAATTATTATTGGCAAGAAAATCTTATGAAAGTCATATGGCTATGACAGAATCAAGAATTGATCATTCATTCATTTGTTACAATAGTCTTTCTAAGCAGCAACAGGCCTTGTGCCACCCCATGACTGATTGTACAAAATAAGATGATATGTAAAAAATTAATTTCAATAAAAGAGCCCATTCAGGTATAGAACCTTTTAATTCTTTGGTAATGTATGCCAGGCCTAACTGGACCAATTGTGAATGTTAAGTAGTTGTATTTAGGGTAGTACCAACAATCTGAGTGTGAATGTGAGTAGGCATGTGACATCTTTCCTCTCCAGTCATGGTTTTAACGGGCAAACCAACATGATAACCGCTGTCTGAGCAAACAGTGGCCCCAGTGTGGTGACAGGCTCAAATTCCTCCAATCACTGTGGCATTCGATCTGACCCACAATGTGTATGTGTTTATATGGACTACACTAATATCCTGGAAAAAATGAAAGAGCTTTTCTTGTGCTGAAGTGAACAAACAACTGACTGAAATAACTCCAGTTACTCACAGCAGATAATCATTTATTCGAGAGTTATGGCATCACAAAAACAACTGCACTCTCACTGTCAGACAGACTTAAAGGGGAACTAATGTTTTTTTCAACCTGGGCCCTATTTTTCCGATCTAATTTTGTCTAAATGAGTGATAGGATGTTCAACATTTGACATTTCTCCAGTACGAAGCTAGGGCTGACCTGCCTGCAGCTCGTGAGCGGGTGCTATATTAAATAATAGGGCACCGGGACAGCGTCAAACAACATCAAAATAAATACGTCCAATAAAAGTGCATTTTTTTAACACAGATAGGCTCGGATTGTTAGTATAATTATCCGACAACATAACAGAAAGGAGAAATGAACGTCTGTGTTTACCTTTAGCTGGATTCGGATATGTTCCTCTGCCTGTTGCTGCTCTCTCTCTCCTCGTCCGCTCTCCGCTCTTCAGTTTCAATGAGCTTTGCGTCCGTGTACGTCCGTGTACTCTGTGTTCAAATAAATACGGGTGGTCATCAAATTCAAATGGCTCATCCAGATCCAGTCAGAACACTCACTCAGAGATTGAAAGTCTGGCTCTGAAATCTCACGTCTCGCGAGATTCTTCTTCTTCTTCTTCTTCTTCTTCTTTGGTATTTTATGGCAGTTGGTCTCGTGAGATTTGAGTTGCTGCAGGAAGTTACCGCTGGAGTGACCTTACAGTTGGTCAAAATCTGGTAAAAATTCAGCCATGACTACTCCAAACAGTAACTCCTCGCGTTTGTAAGGTCACTCCAGCAGTAACTTCCTGCAACAACTCAAATATCACGAGACCAATGAAGAAGAAGAAGATTCTCACGAGACGTGAGATTTCAGAGCCAGACTTTCACTCTCTGAGTTAGTGTTTTGACTTGCCACAACAAACATGTCCGAATTTTTACCCGATTTTGACCAACTGGATCTGGATGAGCCATGTGAATTTGATGACCACCCGTATTTATTTGAACACAGAGTACGTGGACACACACGGATGCAGAGCTCATTGAAACTGAAGAACGGACAAAGAGAGAGAGAGAGAGCAACAACAGGCAGAGGAACAAGTCCGAATCAAGCTAAAAGGAAAACACAGATGTTCATTTCTCCTTTCCGTTTTGTTGTCGGATAATTATACTAACAATCCAAGCCTATCTGTGTGGAAAAAAATGCACTTTTATTGGACGTATTTCGACGTTTGATGCTGTCTGAGTGCCTTATTATTTAATATAGTGCATGCTCACGGGCTGCAGGCTGGTCAGCCCTAGCTTCGTACTGGAGAAATGTCAAATATTGAACATCCTATCACTCATTTAGACAAAAGTAGATTGGAAAATAGGGCCCAGGTTGAAAAAAAACATTAGTTCCCCTTTAAAGACACTGAAAAACTGACTTCAACATCACCTAAAATAGGGTTGTGATATCTTTCTTGGTAGAAAGATATCACAACCCCCACAATCTGTCTAGTTTTCTAAATTGTTGTACCAAGGTATACAAAGGTCACTATCCTTGTAATATCCATGGTTGTATTAAGCCATTGTAGGCAATGGTGTACATCAAAGAGCAAGTCTGCTTTATAGTCCATACACATGCTGCATTTTTTGCACCCTCAAGCCCATTTCTTTTTATGTAGACACATGGCAGGTGCGCTCAAATGCCAGAGCGACATCGTTGTGGCACTCAAGTGTTCCCGAGCCCCTATTTTTCAAGGTGCAACAGCCATGCCCTGAGATAAACAAAATTCAAATATTGGAACACAGCGGTGCACACCACATGTCATGTGACTAGAAACAACCAGTCACAGTGAACAGATATCTTTCCTCTCTGTCGTAAATCAGTCTGACAATGGAGTAGAAGCTACTAATTTCAGTGCAGGGCTATCTTGAGCTTAATGATCTATCACACAGACAACATTTTAATATAAACTTTAAAAACATCGCCTAACTCAAGATTTCTGGTGGGTAGGCTATTTTTTGCTGTCTATGAGTGTTTTGTTTTTGTTTTTTTCCTTACTGTCAAGTAACGTTAGCCAGCTAGCTATCACTGCTGGTTTTGCGCTGATCAGTAAAAAAAGATATTTACTAAACTGTAACATTTTCAATACTAAAAATAAATCTAAGCCGTTAAGAAGACAATGATAGGCTGTTAATTATAGTCGCTTAGCAACATCAGGTGCAACCTGGCTCTGCGCCCCTGAGAAGTTGGCACAAGAGGAGGCACAAAGTGCCCAACCGATGTACATAGCAATATCCAGGTGATTAAGGATCCAGCATGTGTATGGGCCCTTATGGGAGAGCACAAAGAGTGATAGATTCCTTCCATTTTCAAATTTAAGAAATATGTGATGTCCACAGACACTGTAGATGAGGGGCAATAAAGAACGATACCCTACCTGGTCCTTTGGGTTTTGGGTTGCTTGAAGAGAATGGGTCGATACTTGTAAAGTGACTTGTTTGCTGCAGGAAGCATAAGAAAAGTGAATAAAGTAAAGGGAAATTCACAAAGTCACATCCAAACCTTTATCATACTTAATTTTGTCTTGATTGTTGTTATTTTTTACCATCTACAGTACAGGCCAAAAGTTTGGACACACCTTCTCATTCAATGCGTTTTCTTTATTTTCATGACTATTTACATTGTAGATTCTCACTGAAGGCATCAAAACTATGAATGAACACATGTGGAGTTATGTACTTTACAAAAAAAGGTGAAATAACTGAAAACATGTTCTATATTCTAGTTTCTTCGAAATAGCCACCCTTTGCTCTGATTACTGCTTTGCACACTCTTGGCATTCTCTCGATGAGCTTCAAGAGGTAGTCACCTGAAATGGTTT